AGCATTTTGAGCAGATAGACGTGATCAGTGTGTGGTGTTTAATGTAATCAGTGTTTGTCCTGTTTAAAGTGATCAGTGTGTGGTTTAAAGTGATCAGTTTGTGGTGTTTAATGTGATCAGTGTGTGTGATGTTTAAATTTATCAGTGTGTGGTGTTTAATGTGATCAGTGTGTGTCCTGTTTAAAGTGATCAGTGTGTGGTGTTTAAAGTTATCAGTGTGTGGTGTTTAAAGTGTTCAGTTTGTGATGTTTAAATTTATCAGTGTGTGGTGTTTAAAGTGATCAGTGTGTGCTGTTTAAAGTGATCAGTGTGTGCTGTTTAAAGTGTTCAGTGTGTGGTGTTTAAAGTGATCAGTGTGTGCTGTTTAAAGTGATCAGTGTGTGCTGTTTAAAGTGTTCAGTGTGTGGTGTTTAAAGTGATCAGTGTGTGCTGTTTAAAGTGATCAGTGTGTGCTGTTTAAAGTGTTCAGTGTGTGGTGTTTAAAGTGTTCAGTGTGTGGTGTTTAAAGTGTTCAGTGTGTGCTGTTTAAAGTGTTCAGTGTGTGGTGTTTAAAGTGATCAGTGTGTGGTGTTTAAATTGTTCAGTGTGTGGTGTTTAAAGTGATCAGTGTGTGGTGTTTAAAGTGTTCAGTATGTGGTGTTTAAAATGTTCAGTGTGTGGTGTTTAAAGTGATCAGTATGTGGTGTTTAAAGTGTTCAGTGTGTAGTGTTTAAAGTGATCAGTGTGTGCTGTTTAAAGTGTTCAGTGTGTGCTGTTTAAAGTGATCAGTGTGTGGTGTTTAAAGTGATCAGTGTGTGGTGTTTAGAGTGATCAGTGTGTGGTGTTTACAGTGATCAGTGTGCGGTGTTTACAGTGATCAGTGTGTCGTGTTTAGAGTGATCAGTGTGTGGTGTTTAAAGTGATCAGTGTGTGGTGTTTAAAGTGATCAGTGTGTGGTGTTTAAAGTGTTCAGTGTGTGGTGTCTTAGTGGGTCAATGTTTTTATATAACAAAAAGCAAACCAAAATATCTAATATATGGAATAGAAGTAGAAATAGTGTGTGCAGAAATTTTGAGCCTATTGAGGATTCATTATTTTATTCATTAATAATTTGTCTGGTAGTCTACATGGTACAATATCTCATACAGTTACAATAGAGTACTATATTAGCAGTCAGAGAATTACATGAAAATGGTAGCGAAGTGGTGACAATAGCAGCAGAGGTGACCTGAGATTGAAAAAATTCCCGGCCTGAATTATTGTCCCAGTCCGCCCCTGCTGTCTCCACATTAAGAGCAATACATCACATGTAATATTTACAGTGTTTGTAAGATATGTCTGTATCTGTTTACCTCTAAATGTATTATTACAGTAGTTTTATCTGTTAACAGTGATGAATATGAGTCAGCAGCTTCAGGAGACGAGACTCACAGGAGACACAAGAGCTTCACAGACAATCTCCAGTTGATCTTCCAGGTAAAAAAACTCATTTAGACTTATTAACGCCACTAAGGTAACTCAATGAAACTAACTAAAACCCTGACTAACTAAAAGTGTCTACAAAATGAATGATCTTAATAGTCTGTGCTGCTTTGGTTTTTCAGATATTAAAATAATATTTCTTGGTCATTCAGAGGTCTCTCAGTCATTTACAGGCACTTCAAGAGTTCCCACTTAGATATGCTTGGGGGGCTAGTGAAGGGGGCCATAAGGGGTGGGCGGGGTTGGCTCATTAAGAGTCAAAATATGCTTGAGGAACACTCCAGATAGAGATAGAGCAGGGAAGTGGCAGCGCTATATATAAATATATATATGAATATATATGAGAGTATATATATATATATATATATATATATATATATATATATATATATATATATATATATATATATATATATATATATATATATATATATATATATATA